ACTCGGTTTGCGTATTGCAAATTATGAGGCTACACTGGCACGTTACCAGTACTTCATTATGCAGAAGCTGGAAAACATCGTCTCCTCCCTCCCGGACCAGCAGGCAGACCTAGCCAAGGTCTTCTTGAACAAAGCGGAGCAGGTAGCCATTCAACAGTTGTCTACTGCGAGACATCACGTAGACACTGATTCTCGGGCCATGGTCAACGCTATCTCCCTCCAACGACACGCGTGGCTCAGGAACTGCAATTTCCCTGAGGAAATGAAGAGGAGGATAGAAGAAATGCCATTTGTTGGCTCTGGCTCCTTCCATGCGAAGACCGATCGGAAACTCAAAGCCATCCACGAGTCCCGTATGACAGCGCGTCGAATGGAACTCCCACAAGCAAAACGTAAGTGGCCCTGGTCCAGACTCTACGGGCGCCAGCAATATCAGCCTCTCCAGCAGTTCCACCAGTGCCAGCAACATAGAAGGCAACAGCCTCAACAGTGCTTCTCCCAGGGCCATAGGCGGTTCGACACCGAGAAACGTCCCCGTTGATGGTCCCGGTGAACCAATTCATCTCTCCAGCTCCCACCTTCCCCTCTCCCCTTTGGGAGTTGGCTCCAAAGCCGACTTCCCACTTGGGAGGCCATTACATCTGACAGGTGGGTACTGTCCATCATTCAGCTCGGATATAGAATAGAATTCGACATCGTTCCACCATCAAGCCCTATCTGCTTTACACCATCATCGTCGGTTCTGTGCGATGAAGTTCTTCACCTTCTTCATAAGGGAGCGATTCAACAACTCTCTCTATCCTAGATATTTTACAGTCCCCAAATGGGACGGTGGTCTTCGACCTATCCTGGATCTAAGAGGAGTCAATAGATATATCAAACCGAGGAAATTCCGGATGACCACTTTACAGAATATTCTTCCGTTGCTGAGGGATGGGGATTGGTTCGCCTCATTGGACTTGAAGGATGCATATTTTCATATTTCTATCCATCCTTCCCATAGACGCTTCCTTCGTTTTACTGTCGGATCCGATATTTTTGAATTCAGTGTTCTACCATTTGGATTGGCTACGGCACCGAGAGTCTTTACAAAGTGCATGGCTCCGGTTTGCACCCACCTACGACTCCAGGGTATACAGGTCTACCCCTATTTAGATGATTGGTTAATTGTGTCACGGACTGAAGACACCCTTTTAGCGGCTGTCCGCGTGACTTGTGCTTTACTTGATGACCTCGGACTCTGTATTAACCTTAAGAAATCGTCACTTATTCCCACGCAGGTCATCGATTTCATCGAAGCACGTATCGACTCCACCCTGCAAAGAGCGTTCCTTCTTCCGTCCCGCAGGGCCACCCTGTGTACGCACATCCATCGGATTCAATGACAAAGGACAGTTCAAGCCATCACTATACAAAGATTGTTGGGACACATGGCAGCCTCAGTGGCCATTGTGCCGCACGCAAGACTCAGGCTCTGCCCGCTTCAATTATTTTTCAACAACTCGTTCCATCCGCAGCGGGATCTACAAACCAAGCTTCTGCAGATTCCATCTTCGATCCTTCACACCCTGATGTGGTGGACTATTTCACACAACCTATCTGTAGGTGTTCCGTTCCGCCCACCCCAACCGACAGTGACAGTGTACACCGATGCATCTCTCATCGGATGGGGTGCGACATGTGCAGGACTTCGGGTCCAAGGGACATGGACCCAACGGGAAGCAGCGAGGCATATCAATTTCCTCGAGCTTCTAGCGATTTTCAATGCTCTCAAATCTTTTGTAACCGTCTTACACCGCCAAGTTGTACAGATTGCGTCCGACAGCATAGCTGCTGTTTTCTACGTCAACAAACAGGGCGGGACAAAGTCACCTCTCCTGGCCCGTTTGTCAATGCAAATCTGGGACTGGTGCATTCCTCGGGACATCATGATGCTGGCGGTACATCTTGCGGGAACTGACAACGTAGAAGCCGACGCACTGAGCCGACAGATGTCAACTACCCACGAATGGGAGTTGGATCGAGTGGTTTGCAACCAGCTATTCCAGTTATGGGGACAACCGGATATAGACTTGTTCGCGACCCGGTCGAACAGGGTGTGCGAACTGTTCTGCCCTAATGATCGACTGGAACAACCTGTTATTCTACACATTCCCTCCAATCCCACTCCTCATGAAGGTAGTGTCGAAGCTCGTGCACGACAACGCCACAGGAATTCTGATAACCCCATGGTGGCCAAGGCAACCCTGGTTCACCACTCTTCTCACTCAGTCCAGAGGAGTTTTTCGATGACTTCCACTCGTTCCTCATCTGTTAACACAACACAATGGGACAGTCCGACACCCGGACCTACCCTCGCTGAGACTAACAGCGTGGTGCTTCTGATAGATTTGAATTTTCCGTCGGCTCCGTTGCCGTCCTGATCGACGTGACCAACTCCTCCCTCGGAACTGTCAGGGTCAATTTCGGGACCGATAGTGTTATCCTCGGATATCCAGGCAATTCTCGAATCTGCACTACGACCTTCCACACGCAAATCGTATTCAGCAAAGTGGAGAAGATTCTCTTCCTTTGCCAATGCCCGTTCCTTCTCTCCGGAGTCGGCTTCGATCGAGAATATTTTGCAATTTCTATTTGACCTTCATCGCTCGGGACTCAAGCCTTCATCTATAAAGACCTATATGGCTGCTATCTCACATTTTCGTGGCAGTATCCAGGGGTCATCTGTTTTTTCTCAACCCCTGATTCGCCATTTCCTTAAAGGGCTACAAAATTTGCACCCATCGGTTCAACCTGTTATGCCGACGTGGAGTATTTCTGTTGTACTTCAGGCCCTTACAAAACCTCCATTTGAACCTTTGGCAACAGTGGATTTACGCCTAGTTTCATGGAAAACTGCCTGCCTTGTTGCAGTTATTTCAGCCAGAAGAACCAGTGAACTGTGTGCTCTACGCATAGACCCACCGTTCTTGAACTTTCACAAGGAAAAAGTCATTCTCCGAATGGACTCCAAGTTTCTTCCCAAGGTGGCCACACCGTTTCATTTGAACCAAGACATTGTCCTCCCTGCGTTTTTTCCATCTCCATCGACTCCGGTTGAGCGCTTTCTCTATACGCTGGATATTAGGCGCTGTCTAGCCTTTTACAGGTCTGGCACAGAAGCGTTCAGGAATTCCAATAGACTTTTTGTCAAGTATGCTGCTCCTGACAAGGGCTCTCCAGTCTCATCTCAGCGACTGTCCAAATGGATTGTGCAGACCATAGTCCTAGCATATCAATTGGCAAAACTTGACTTACCCTCACTTCCTACTACGCGAGCTGTAGCGACTTCGTCGGCCTTTACAGCAGGGGTTCCAATTCAGGATACTTGCAAGGCTGCAACTTGGGCTGCTCCATGTACTTTCACCAAGCATTATCGGCTTGATGTACGCGCCAGAAGGGATTGTTCCTTTGGTAGAGCTGTGCTCTCTGCCATTCTTCACTGACGACACCTTCCCTCCTCCAAGTCTGGTAAGCTTGCTAATCACCCATATGTGTGATGCACAGAGGCCATGACGAAGAAGAGCAGGTTGCTTACCTGTAACTGATGTTCTTCAAGTGGCCATCTGTGCATTCACACAACCCACCCGCCGGCCCCGCGTGGTGTCGGTGAGTGGACTGTTTTTCTTACTGTTGGTTCCGTGTGTTCCTACGGTACCGATTTTTCTTGCTGTGATGCTGTTTTTTGAACATTAGAGGGTGAATGTCGGTCTTCAAGACTGAGTAAAATGGCGGACGCTCTGCTCTATTTATACTGCAGGGGGGAGGGGAGCGGAGTGTTTTTCCCACCAAAAACCGTTAGCTTTCTAATCTTCCGGCCTAGGCACCGCGCAGGCACAGCACCCATGTGTGACTGCACAGATGGCCACTTGAAGAACATCAGTTACAGGTAAGCAACCTGCTCTTACAATGGGAAGCAGATTTCTTTATCATTTAATTTTGAGTTAGGGGGTATTTTTGCAGTTCTCTGGCAAAGGAGCACAGAGATAGGAGATTAAAGTTTATAATAAACAGTTTTAATGTAAGCTGAAACACCAAGCCTGCAGAAATATCAAGATAATTATACATAGAATGGACTAGTTCAGATGATCTGATCTCTTTCCTATACTTGGCAGGGAGGGGGTGAAATTGCACCTTTCCAGGGGCATTATGTACTGAATACTCAATACCAGCATTACTGCTTTGTTGTTTTAAAAACCCACTATGTCAGATCCCATTTCAAAACCTTTGTGTTTCTTACAGACAACGATATCTCTGAATTCTATAAAGGGAATGTCTGGGGCTAAGGATCAGTCAGAAAGTATAAGCCTTCACTATACAACATGTTGTGCAACATCATAAAGGTCATTTGATACCTTTAATACATACTCTGTTCCATTTGTGCCTCTGCCTCTCCACCCTTAGATTCCCCATGTTCCTCTCACTCCAGCAGTCAGCCAGCTTGCCATGCCTAACCAGCATGATCAGTCTTCTATTTTGGGATCCCCTCTCCCTGGGGAGAGGTCCTGAAAGGGTTTTTGGACTTGCACAAACCTTAAGATTTCTTAAAGCCTGGTGATGGCCCCCACTTGTGGTTTAGTGATAAATAAGCACCACCTACAGAAGCCTCAGCATTTGTGGCCTTAGCATCAGCAATGGAGAGAGTGATAATTACATGTATATATTATAAGCAGTAATATGCATGGCTTACACTACGTAGTCGGTGTGGTGTCATGGTTGGACTATTGGACTCGGATTCAAGAGAAGCAGGTTCTAGTCCCCACTCAGCCATGAAACGCCCTGGGTAACTTTGGGTCAGTGACTGTCTCTCAGCCTAACCTACCTCACAGGGTTGTCGTGGAGATAAAATGGGGAAGGCAAGAGGATTATCTAAACCACCTTGGGTTCTACTCAGGAAAAAAATACAGGATATAAATGTAATGTAATAAATGTCAATAAATAAATTATTGATTTGTTTGCAGGTTACATTTCGGACAAGAATTTATCACTGTAATATTAACAGCCAAGGAGTGATTTGCTTGGATATTTTAAAAGACAACTGGAGTCCAGCGTTAACCATTTCTAAAGTTCTTCTGTCCATCTGCTCACTTCTCACAGACTGCAACCCTGGTAAGATTCGCAGGATTGGTATTTGTTGCTATATAAATTTAGATTGGCTATTAGGGCTTCTTTGTTTCTAAATCTTTTTTAGCAAAAGAAAAAAGAAAAAATCTCTTAACAAATGAACTTCTACTTGCCCTACCTTTCTAGAAAAAATACTGTTGCAGAATAACTCTTCAGGGTATGCTAACCTCTGTAGATTACAGGTATTTTCATTAACTGTAGTTAACATCAAAGAGTTTAATCAATCCTTCATGAACTGCTTGTGGTATAGTTGAATGGTGATAAAAAGATTTAAATTTCCTGTTACTTTGAAAAAGTGCACATATTGGCAGAAATTAGTGTACAGTAGACAAAAGGTACCTATATTTCAGGTAATCAATGAATTTAAGCTAAGTGTATTGATAGGGTTGTCTTTTTTCCTGTCCCTATGGTTGTATTTCTAGCAAAAATCTGGGCTGCAGAAATGAAGCTTGAGATCTTCTCTCCTGAGGGTAGCTCTATTAGTCTGTTGTAGCAAAAACAACAAAGAATCTTGTGTGTTACGTATTATGATACATGCTTTTGTGGACAGAAATGGTTTCATAGATGCATGACTGTTATCCTAAGAATGGGTAAATAGTGAGGTAAGAGAGAAATGAACTGGGGAAAGTAGACATTCCCCCTTCTATGCATGAGCTCTGCCTCATCATTTTTTTCCTAGTTTGTGGCAAATCAAAATTGACATTTCAGCCCAATGATGAAACTGTGCTTTGTGCTTGCCATGCAAACCAGAATTGTAAACGAGGGATGTTTTTTGTGGTTCACAGGACAGGTGATAGCCATCATTTGCTAGCTCAAATACAACTACATTCGGCCCTCCACATTCATGGGGATTAGGGGTACAGGACGCTTGCAAGGCTGTATCTCTAGCCTGCCCAACCTTAATTCTTAATACTGTTTACCATATGTGTACTGGTAGTGCCTTACAATTACTTCTTTTGCAATTTGAATAACCTTTAGCTCAACACAAGATCCAAAGTGCCGTGGTAGAGCCCACTCTGGGGAAGCTAATCCCATGTTGCATAGTATCACAAGCCTCACACAGGGCCACTTGCCTGGTTCGAGTCTGACACCCACCCACTCTGATACACCATTCCAGGCTGGCTGCAGTTGTGGCCAAGAGGAAGAGGAGTATGCCCCATGCTACTGTCTGTGGGGCAGTAGGCCACAAAACTTTTTTTTAAATCCTATTTAATTATTGATGGAAATCTCATGACTAATCCAAAGAATGGAATTTAAATTTGCAAAAGTTGAGGTTTAATTGTATTAGTCACCACAATTCAAGCATTAACTAAATAAGCACATGCCCTGTGGCCATTAGACAGAGTCCAGACAGCCAGAGAAGAATTCCCAGTCCCAACTCTAGCCTGGGGAACTGGCTCCAAAGTCAGGACTGAGGCTCTAAACTTGCCTTACTTTCATTCATGCTTTTGCAAATACTCCCAGGCACATACACACACAGGAATATACACACAAAGTGCATACACACACACATTCATACCACTGTTCTCTATCACCTGGAAGCAATTTTCAGCACGCTCCATCTTCCCTTCATCTTGGTCCAGTCAAGGCCATTTTAAGGCAGAAGCCTGGCAGGGGCCCCAAGTTCATAAGCAACCTTGTAGTCTTCATGTACACTCATCTAATGAGCAGGAGCAGATCAGATCAACAATCAGAAGGCAACAGTGAGTTTCTCTCCACAAAACTATACAATATACAGGTTTTCCTGTGTAAAGAGAAAAATCAACCCAGAAGGCTTAGATTTATGCAAATCTTCATTGGAACAACAAATAGTGGTAAGAATGACAGCTAATTAACCCCCAGCCATACACAGTGATTAGACTGAGTTTGATGCACAGCTGCAGCTTCATTGGCAAGCCACTGCTGTTCTTCCCAAGCAGGCCAATAAAATGAAAAGAGGTATTTGCCCGTGTGACGTTCTCATCCTAATCTACAGAGGCTGAGAAGAAGCTCTTTCCTCTTCATTTTCACATCAGTGCCCTTTTGTTTTTTATCACCCAAGGCAGGCACTAGTTTGTCCCTTTTAAACAACTGGTATGACATTTGCCTTTTCAACAAAACTATGTTCTCTCTTACGCATTCTGTTTGTCACCATCAGGCAGCAAATTGGGTTAAGAGGTATCTGATTTTTGTTAACAACTGGATAAATTTATTGCTATGACAGGGATGGAGGCAAATGTTCACATGAATTATGATACCTAGAGGGAAGAAATAAATGAAACAATTGAGATAGAAATAGAAGGAAAGGAAATACTAACATGATAGCATTAGCTCTCCAGAATATTTATTTATTTATTTATTTATTTATTCAATTTGTATATTGTATCATAACCAAAGCCCTCAAGGTGGCATACATAATAAAATCCAATGTAATCAAACTATTGATAAAACATAGTAAAACCATTTAAAAAGTTTTAAAGCAGCAATATATAAAATCATTTTTTAAAAGAGATAAATATCCAAGCAGCTAAAGCATGGAGAAAATTTATTTAAAATGCAGCACCAAATGTAAGAGCTACAAATGATTTTGAAAAGCCCCAGAAAATAAAAAGAAATCAAAGTAGGTACCAGGGAGAACTTGCTAGGGAGGCCATACCATAGTTTGGGAGTGACCACAAAAAAGAACTACTGCAAGGAAGTCCATTACTCCCATGAGGGAAGAACTGAAGCGAAGTTTTAGTAGACTAGGGTAGGCTACTTGTTGCCAGACACTGGTATGGGGATCCATCATGTTGCCCTACCTTTTTGTTTTAAGAAATAACATGGGAGTAATGGACTTCCTTGTAATAGTCCAGCCCAGGCTTCCCTGGCGAGTCCTTGGTGAGTGAATGGAAAAAGGATACCTGTTTTTTCTGTCCCACCCAGTGGAGCTTCCTTTTAAATGGGTTCAGTCTTATTGGTTATAGATTCAGCCACCAAAATTGTTTTCTGTTTTTTTAGGATCAGTAATGCAAAGTAGATGTACTGGTTACATTTTACTATCTCTCCCATTTTTCTTTAGTTTTGCAGAACTTGGTAAAACATGTCCCAACAAAATCTTAGTTATACTGGATTAGTTTGCAGATCAAAGTGGATGGATAGCCAAGTTGAGTTGCAGCTTGTGAGAGATATATGAAAACTCTTTATCGATGGGGAAACCAGATGTGTAAACAGTGTTATGCTGATCTTTGTTTTATAATACACTTATGAATAGATGTATACATACACAGCAGTTACAGCTATTTTAGCTATTCTGGTCCTTTTCTTTTTTTTAGTTGCTAATTAATTTTGTTTTCACTTGTCTGTTCCTTAGATTTCTTAAGTTTCAGACTGCATATAATAGTGGGAATAACTAAATAGCATGGGAAGTAATTTCTGTACTGGACTCTGAACACATTTAGTAATGTTGTAGATAATTTATTGTGCTAGCATAAGTTTATATTAGGTGATAAGAGGAAATATGCAATTTAATCAGGTAAGGTTAACTGACTGGCATTTTGAATTCCCTGCAGAGTACACAGCTTGACTAATTACACTCTTAGTGTATATATTATAAACTATTGAGCAAAATAAAATGTTACCTTTCTCTGGTTGCATGAGGTACAGAATTCCTTTGTAAGCAGTGATGCTGGCTCCTATTCATATGTAGCTGTCTTTATGTATTGCCCCTTTTCCTTTCTGTTTATGGATGGGATCATCATGTTTTGATCACAAACTACTGAAATGATTCCTGTTCCCAAAGTATTCCAGTTTATTGCATTTAAAAAGCACCATGTATATTATTGTCCTATTTGTTGATAATATAAGAGAATTCCTACAGAAAGACTTATCAAACTGTCTTCCATCTGAAAAAGTCACTTCATAGGTGAATGATCCAAAATTGCTTAGACGACTCATCTGCCCAGCTAGCCTGGTGAGAAGATTCAGATCGCCTCTCCCAAAGGAGCACCTTCTCACCAGCTCTTTGACTTGGTTATGCTGTGAGGAAGACAAATCTCAATAACGTGTCTGTAGAAGGCCCTTTGCTTTTACAGAGCCAAAGAAGAGTCCACCAAATGATGAGCAAGTGCTGTAAAGAGCCTGGGCAGGGTTGTCCTTAGCTTTGGTGTATGAGTTCAGATAGCTAGATGGAGTTCACTGTGCACCCTTCAACCAACCAAACTCAAAGGATTATTATGTGGCAGGGTGGGGAAAGAAACCATCATGTACATTACCTTAGAAGTAGATGGAATAAAATAGAAATAAATTATAAATAACAATACTACCTAGTGAATATGTTCTATTATAGGATCTTCCCCTCAATGGGAATTCATTCTTTTTCTGACCATTAGTCACCAAAAATAGAGTAATTCCTGCTTTGGCTAGTAGGGGGCTGTTTCCAGCCTTTGAGTGCCCAGATCTGGGTCATCCTTCTTTATCCACTTCAGTTTATCTTACGCTTCTGAATAGAAGCTGAGTCATAATGTTCTGACTGCAGGTGAATATTCAACGAAGCTCACCAAGATCTTGACATCCCAGCAATGTTCTGAAAAATCATGGCTTATTTCTAAGTCACTTGCTCCAGGAAAGATTCATAAAAAATATCTTCTAGGCTAGGCTAGCACTAGGCCCTTTTTTCAGCGCTGTTTCAACCAATGGTTGTTTGAGATGCAGTACTATAACTCTGCCATATAGCAGTGGTACACTATGCTCTCTTCCATAATCAGGAGAGAAAAGACTAATAAAGGCTCTCTCTGAAGACCATCTGGCTCTAATCAAAACCCAGTTGGATCCACAGTGACTCCTATGACTGCCTTTGGCCACATACTTGCTACATAAAGATTTCATCATAGAACAGATTATTGAACAGGTGTAGACCACTTGGTGAGCTTCAGATGTTTGGATTACCGCTGCCATAAGCCCTGGCCCTTGGCTGTGCTAGATGGGATTTAGTGGAGCTGTAATACAAAGGTCTGAGGGCACCAGACATTGCCTACCTCTGGTATAGAGTCCAATGTATTCCACTCCTATATACTCTGAGCTCTGTAAGATCCAACCATTGATATGCTACCAATATGTTTGCTTCTCACTGATGTTTATAAAATACATACTTGCCATGTTTGGAAATTCCAGAATCCCTCCATTGTCTGTTGGGGCAGCAGAATGACCCACAGTTCCAGACTTTACATGCACTGCCCTTCTAGTCCCCAGGTGCCATTTTTATTTCTCATTAGCATTCCATCCATCAGTAGCAATTAAGCCAACTCTCCTCTGTGCCAAATACTTTTCAAGTTGTTGGTAAAGCTTCCATATCATAATGAGTCTGTCTTCACAGCAGCCTTTTTAGAATTAGGTATTCTAGTAGCTATAAGTAGCTACTAAGAGAAATGGGAGAGAGAGACAGAGAAATCTTAAAACCATCAAGAAGTACCAGATGTTAAAGCTTGTGCTGCCTTCTTCCAAACCATCATTCATTCATTCAATCATTCATTGTAAGGATACTTGTGATCTCTTGTCTTGTATCATCATGTCCTCCATTTACAATGCAAATCTTCCCATGCCACAGAACTATAGCTAAAATGGCACTAGCCATGCACAAGAGGGAGATACAGTGGTATCTTGGCTCACGAACTTAATCCGTTCCAGGACTCTGGTCATGACCCAAATTGGTCGTGAGCCAAGTTAAATTTCCCCATAAGGGTCAATGTAAATAAGGTTAATCCATTCTGTAACTACTTTTTTAATCAGAAAAATGTGAAGCAAAGTGACAAAGAACAACAAAGA